TCAGTACTGCCCCAGTAAAAGGCATGTAATGACGCCTAATCCCTTATCACATGGAGTAATAAGTGAAGCAATTATATTCATTTTTTAAAAAGAGTAATGAATATTTTTTTTTGAGTAATAACGACAGTGATGTAAATTTCCATGCCTGTTCAGTCAAACAGCTTTCAAGGCACCCCAAGTAATTTACTCCGTAACTGTCAGGAGAAAACGACAGCTTCAGTCTGGCTGTAATAAATGTGAATCAGTCAACAACATTAGTTTGTGCCAAAATCATAAGCAGCAGCCTGTGATTTGACATTTCTGACAGATCTGTTGATAAACATTCCTCTTGGCATACATGAACAACAGCTTTTTTGCCTTAAATTATGAGCAAGTGAATAGAAATATGACAAGATGCAAGAATTCCATTTGGCTGGCATTTACTAAACATGCTGAATTAAAGCTGCTGTGCTTGCTCCATCTGGGTGACTGTTTGCCAGCAGAAAAAATTAAATTATGCATCTGTCATCCTTGGTAGGACAGCGGAACAGTGGTTAGCACTGTCACAGCAAGAAGGGGCTGACCCAGTCCCTTTCTGTGCAGAGTCTGTATGCCCTCCCTGTGCCTGTGTGGGTTCTCTCCAGGTACTCTTCCCACAGTCCAAAGACATGCAGTTTAGGTTGACTGGGGACTGTAAAGTGCCCATAGGAGAGAGTGTGGTTGTTTGTCTATACATCATTATTTTGAATGGCTACAATTGCTCTTAGGGTTTAGTTTTTAGGAACTGCACTGGTGCTGTTCTCCACTTTTCCTCCAAGGTGTCTTCAAAGATTACTGAGCTTTGAAGCTGGGTCAAAATGAATTTGAAACAGAATAACTATCCCTTGAATCTGTTAAGTAATTAGCATCCAAAATATCACATACAACTTCATCAGATGGCAGAGACATTAAAAATATGCCAGCAGGTGATGTGGAAATGCCAAACAGGCTCATTTCTATTAAAGAAACAGTCCAGATGAAACCAGTTCAGTATAAGTACTGTGGACTATAAAAACCAAGCAGAGCACTGATTCTGAGAGGTCATTTTTAAAACTCTACTTTTTCATACAAAACCACAGTCAAACTTCCATTAACCTTGTTTTTGTGATGGAGGTGGAGAACTCAGATATGTAATGTTGAATCTCCAAACAAATAAGGCTTGGCTGGATACATGAGCGGTACAAGAGAAAGTTTAAACTGACACTTTAAACGAATACATTATATTTTCTAAGTATCACTTAAGTCATGATTGTAATTAAACAATGAAAATGTAATGATTTCAGTGGCGCACTCTAGCCTACAGACATATAATTAAGATTTTTCTGTCTGACTGACCTGATTTTCCACTGTAATGACACAAAAGACAATCACAGTTACTCATCTCCACAACAACTCTGCTTCTCTTTCAGCTGTACAGTACAGTTCATCAATGAAATGCAGGAAAAAAATAAAATTTTAGGGACCACAGCCTAATTAAAAGATCACAAGATTTTTATTGACTGCAAAAAAG